GTGCCGGTAGTCTCAACTCTTCCGTACGCAAGTAGCATGTCTTCTGCCATGCTATCACGATTCCTTACGACTTCAGGGAGGACTCAGGGCGCTACAGTTCCGCTTAGCATCAGATGCATATTTTTTCTGGCAGCGGAACGATAACGATCATATGTACTTGGATCAAAAACTTAATTTCTGTTCAGTAATAGTACATTTAAACAATACAAAAAGCTCTGTCATACTTTCCTGGTTTTGTTTGTTGATTTATGATTAAAGTAAATATGAGACCTGCTTAATTTTTTAGAACAAAAATTAGGGTATTTTCACTGTCCCTCTTAGAGTGGTTAAAAGCCCCACTCCTTAGAGTAGTCTGTTTAGTAATGCTCCTGGTGTATTGCCATTTTCGGAAGTTGGACGTTCTCCTAAGAAATTGCTTGTTAAAGTGAACAAACATATCGCTCTATATGCATGCAAAACAACATTTGACAAGGAGGCTGCATTTTTCTCTCCTGATGGTAGTGCTTTCTTTGCGTTGGCCATGTCGTTTGCAGGAGCAGACATCAGTGAGCTCCTAATAGCTTGTTAGCTCTCGTAAACAGCTCACCACAAGGACAACTAAGGGCTTAAATGATCATGCAATTTTTCGGCTACGCGCCTGTGGATCGTCTGGGCTGTAAGAGGGGTAAAAACTTGCATAAAAAGGTAAAGATTCGTCCATTTTGTTCTCTCAACTTAGGGTTTGATTTGATCCTGAAACCCCCTATAAGATAATAGTTGCTCGCGATCTCCACTTCACTCGCATAGAATAAGGATTTGGCGTGCATAATCCCAAAAACTTCGGAAATGTTGAAATGGAGGCATCTACAGTTGATTTTAATCCCCTCATTGATCTTAAGCACTTTTACTTGGAATAGGAGACATCCAAGTTAAATCAGGACTTTTGGGCTTATTTGCGCGAAATGAGGTTTTGCTATAGCAGTAGTGGCAGGTGTCTTTCAACCTGTAGAACAACGGGTGTTGAGGTGCTTGGATTGTTGCTAACGTAACTATACATTCGGAACTTAGATTGCGCTAGGAGATGGTGCTCTGATGGGACGCTCAAACCCCTTACATTGGGACTTTTGAATTACTAAAGTTTAAAATCCACGATGATCCTCATCCCACAGACTCGGCGGCTATTCAGGCGAGCATTTTAGCCAGCCTTTTCAGCCTCTGTTTTTGGACTTCTGATTGACACAGAGCCACCTTCGATGAAATTGCACAGGTGACATATTTTTCCACAGTAAACTCTTCTATGGTTCGGACCAGCATTGAAGAGTTTAATACTTGACAAAGAAAGCCAAAATTCCCCACGTTTCATCTATATCGGCGATGAAACGTTGGCCTCTAAAAGTGTGCTTCATTGGTCATTACTGCAGCATCAACACTGAAGGGAAAAAGACTGCTGCAGGACAGCTCAGCCATAATAGCAAGGTTCTTTCACACCATTGCTGTGTTCTAGACTTTAGTAAAACGCTGGAATAACTGTGAGAAAAAAATAGTTTACATCCTTTTCTGCCTACTAAAAACTCTTAAGTCCCGGTTGGACTTGAACAGCTTTTGCAACAGTAAGACAATATCAGTAATGCAAACCTTGACGATTCAGCTAGTGGAATAGTTCCCCATTTGTGTTGTGGTCCAAAGGCCAAGGCAACACTACCTTAGTCTGATCGGAAGCGACTTTAATAAGGGCGAGTAAAGTGTTGGATTCTTACGGAAAATTTAAGAAGTTAAGACCACAACTTTTCAGTTAAAAAAGTACTCGGATTCCAGCCACGATTGTATCAAATTGTCCCTATGATTTGCATTTCGAGTTCACCTGTCACGTCCTTTACTCTAACCTTAAAGTGGCATTTGGCATCCAAACTTTTACTGATTTAACAAGAATTTTTACAAGAAACGGGTTTCAGAAACAGTTACTTAATCAGATCTGTCAATGTCTTTAGAAGCCGTGATAGTTGGGTTCTCTGGGATGTGCGCCAATTGCCATTCAATGCCCAAATTGCGTGGCATCGTCAGCTAATGTCGCAGCCTTGCAAGTGTATGACAATTGCGTGCATTTCAAACAATATTAACCCCTTTAAAGAAATGTAGGTATCAAGAAATACACAAAAATGAATGCCAGAATACATGAAAGGCAAGAACGAAGGGAATATTAAATACAAAAACAGTTACTCTTAGTAATCAAAGTGTGTACTCTATTCCTATTCCGCCCAATCATGTCTTCTTCCACAATTCTGCCAAAGTCATTTGTAAATCACACATAATTTGACATCAAGGTGATAAAGTGGCACCGAAGTCAAGGTCAAGTATACAAGTGCATACATTAATCACCTACACAATAAGGATTATAACATTAATGCTAGGATGTTAAATCATCACGAAAAGAGACTTAATTACTTAAAATGTATATCATTAACTTGAAAAGAATGCTAGTCGTGGTTACTCGCATGTTAGCCCTAAAATTCGCCTACAGATTCGCATTAGCGCTCACTTGTTAAGAGAAATAACTATAAGAGTATTAAAAATCGCTCCACTTGTGGGCAAAAACAAGGGTATTTGGGCTGGAAAATCATGCTTTTATCCTACATAACAGTTGTTCCCAAAAGGCCCGTACACTAGGTCGAATTAAGCAAGTAAATGGAACGAGTTGCACCTCCCTTTCTTGACCTTCGCCAATTAATGTGGGTTGTTCAACCAACTATTGCGTCTGTACGTGTGTCACAAACTACTCATCCAAGCACGACATCATAGAGACAAAAAAGTGAGTTTGGCCTTTTTGCTATTTAAAGTTTTCTTCGTTCCTGTGCCTCTGGTCCTACCGTGATCATTTATCTTTGAATGGGGTTATCAGAATCCCAAACCTACAAGTTCTTCGGCTCACATTGCCCAATTTATTTCGTGACGGGTGGGACTAACTCACGTTTAGAACTTTACGCTGGAATAAACTATTCTTTACTTCCCAAGCATTATTCCTCAATTTCGGTTTGTTTTAAAGTAATGTTCGCATATAAGGGCGTATTCATTGGCCGTTTAGATTGCTTTCTGGTTTGAGCATTTATACTCTCGCAGCAGCCGTTTTACAGCACCAGCCTTGTGCTAACTTTGTAGTCCTTGGTAAAATAAACTTTCAAATAAAAGGAAATGCACTTTATTTACATGAATACACAGCATTTTGGACAAAATACCACATGGAATTTAATGCAACGACGGATGAAACTAAGTGCGTCAGAAGAGAGAGGGTTAAGGCATTTACACCTCATCCCTTAAAAAGGGGAAAATATCTCGAGGTAGAGTACCAGAGAAGCAATAAATAATAAAAAGTACTGAACCGCATATGATCAATGAGTTCTAAAATGTGCCTTGAATACTTGGCCTTCCATTTGACTATGATTGAGGACCATAGCAATTCCTCTCATGTTTTATCCACTTTGTTCTCCATTTTTTTATGGCAATGAATGAAATTTATACATCGCAGTGATGTCATTTGCCTTCAGTTCAACTGCGGTTGAGACAAAATTCTTTCAAATCCCCGCATTTCACTTGTATTTCCTGCACTATTTCGACGGAAATTCGCCACTATGCGTAGAAACCGTAGCGCTCCAAGGCTTCCCCGAAGCCGTAGGAAGTCGGAGTAGTATGGTGGAGCATACGACACCGACGTGCTCTAAGGACCATGGCGCCATGCGGAGGCACAATATGAGGCAAATCAAATGCCCCGCCTATGTGAATGTGGAAGTAAACAAACTCGCGAAGCATTACAGTGACAAAACCCTTTCCATTTAATGTTGAGTAAAGTCTGACAACCTGTGCAAAGCAGCATTGCTTCTTCCAAAAATTCTGCACATAGAATCCATTTTTTTTATTGCCAATACCGCTTTGACGTGCTGACCTGGTTTTTACAAATTTCCATTAATTGTTATTTATTTTATCCTTCTGGTAGAAACAAAGATTTTGCTTATTCTACACTTAATTAATGGATTTTTAACTTCTTCCGAACTTTATCGTAAAGGAGGTGGAAACTATGGGTTCAGTTTCAGTCGGTCCAAATGAAAAATTGGATCTTCTTCATTCGAGTCTTCCACTTGACTTCTTTCCCCTGGCAGATGTCTGGTTTTGCCCATCTGTGCATTATATTCATTTTGTAGTTTTTGGTTAACAAATGTGATTCCCAATCTGCCTTGCCACCTCATTGATTTATATCACCTAGTTGTTGTCACAAGTCGCCAGGTAAATCTTGAATTCCAGTAATTAAGCAAAATGATTTTGACGGAGAACAACTCCCTCGTACTAATTGCATTTCAGTAGAATATTGTAGAGACTACACTTCACTATTAAGGCGCGTTGTTGACATTGCCGTACCATTTCAGAATTGATTCACTCAGTGCCTTTTGGTTCCTAAAAGTAGTGAACCTCCCTACTCTAGAACCACCTGACTCTTCTGACCACACCGCTATCTTTTATCACAGCTGTTGGAAAAGCTGAGTACTGCAAGATAACGAGCTCAGTCTAAGTTACGTCTGCGGATGGAAAGCCCCGCACCCGGAGCGCACACTTTGCTTGCAGTGGAGATGCAAAAACACCCCCAGCCTGTCAAGCATCTCGCAGTGAATGTTGAAGTTTTAACAAGTCTCACCAACAATTTGGTGAGTTCCCTCTGTACTTGACACAATAAGTTAGCACTTTGACCCCGTAACTGTACGGAAGCACACGCGATCCCAATTCCGCTGCAGAAGTGAGACGACCTTCCACGCTGACGAGACACCCTTTCGCCCAGTAATGGGAGGGTTATGGTGTGGACAAACCCCGTTCCACTATCCTGTCCCTATCGATACTTTGGTACCTGAAACTATGTATCAGAGTTGAGTTTCTACACTTACTTGAGTATTAGTAGAACATAGTTTCTCTGATTGCTTCAACTTAATGTCCATATAACCACGTGGAAAAACATTAATTCAACAGTTTATTAATTAACCGGTTTAACATGGCGGCCAACCCAGCTGTTTTCCACCAACAACGTGGATATGCAGATGGTAGACCGATTGGCAACCTTCACTTCCGTTATTGATCACAATCCGGTAGCCCTTTGTTAGGTTCTTCAGTGCGGCAACTTTCTTCGCCACTATGAGCAAATGTCCTAAGAGCTAAGGGACAAGATAGAACCAACTTAAGCCATACTTACCGCTTCATCACCCTCAGTGGCAGAATCTAGCATTTGAATGGGTTTTTTAGGTAGAACCAGAAAATGTGTAGGGGCTTGAGGTGAGATATCGTCAAAAGCGACACATTGCTCGTCCTCGTAAAGGAACCTTGTTGGGATTTCCTTGCGGACAATTTTGCCAAAAATGGTGTCCTCCCCTGAGGGACAAGCAGCCTGAGCCTTTTCAACTTCGGAGGTCATCCTTCTACAGGACTGATACCTTAGTGGTAAATGAACCAGTGGAAACAAAACCCGAAGCATTTGCGTAGGTCACGCAACATCATCATCATTATTTATGGGTTCAATTTATATATCAGAGTACCAATAAACCACTTTAATTAATTTGCCAAAAATTTTCTTTGATTTTAACACCAATACTTTTTGGCAAAATTTGCAATTTCGAGTTGCCATAACAAGGCCTTTTAATATTTTGACGGTGTGGCCAACTGTGAATAACTAAGTAGGGGTTAATACCTCCCATTGGCCTGTGTTCTGGTGTGTCCACTTGCTATTTTTCGTTGGAACGCCTTGCCCTTTCGCATTTATGACTTTATATAACCGTCCTTAAAGGTAATCAGTAGTCGCTTCTCAACTGCAATGCCGCGATTCCCCAGCCTTTTATGATTTTTTAATACTCATCGATGATACTTTGTGGCTTTGAGTGTTCTAGCCCTTGAAACTCACAACGCTTAGGTGGGGGTGTTTGATGTAATTTCTCTTTTAGCTTGACTATTGGCATTGCTTGTATTTCATAATGTATTGGTAGGCGTCTATTACTCTAACGTCAGAAGGGGGAGAACTTTTTTCTCTAGTTCTATTTCTAATTTGTCCGGCGGCTATTTTTCTATCTCGCTGCGGTGATGTTTTGATTTTCTACAAGGATGCTTTCACACTGTCTCGATTTTAGCTGTTTTAATCATTCCTTTTCGATTTTAGATGCCTACATCTACTCGCAAACCTTCAAATGACTCTGACACCCCAGCTGAAGTGTCTGTTTTATTACCTCTATCATCCCCCCTCGTTTTTTATCCATCAAAATCAGCTTTTCTCTTTTCTCTAGAATCTCCTCAGATACCAGTGACTCCGTCAAAATCGTGGAGGAGGATTACGACTGCCTCCTGGTTGAAGAGGTTGGTAAACCCCCCAACCACTTCAACTTTGCCCAAACTGCATTTATTCGGGAGAGTCATGGTCGGCCCATCTTTGGGGTCGCCTTCAACTGTGACAATCGTAGCTCTTCTAGTGACCCCCTTCTTTTCGCCACCGTCGGCGCTAACCATGTGCGTCCTCTGCTTTTTCCCTTTTGTACTAAAGGTATGCTTTGGCGGATGATTTCGTGAGGAGTATCTGTCGAGATTGCTGTTGGATGCCGATATTTGAAAAATTTACTCCTATCCACTCCAGGTGACCATTTACCAGTGCAGGGAACTGCCACCGCCCCCAGAGGGGCAGGATGCCACAAGCAATCCACCTATACACCTACTCCAGTCCTTCTCGGACGCTTCCAGCGATGAGGAGTTCTACTGCTGTGCGTGGTCTTGCAACCTTGATGCGCGTCGTGGTGTGGCTAAGGCCTCAAGCCGCCAACAGATCCTTGCAGTGGCCGGCAAACGCGGCGTTATTCGTATCCTTTGTCCCTCCCTCTCCAAGTGTTTGGACAGTCTGATTGGTCATGGGCAAGCGGTGAATGAACTGAAATTTCATCCTAATCACCCATCGCTTCTCTTCTCGTTCAGCAAGGGTACGTTAGTTCTTTCGTTTTAAGGAAACTGTTTCGCGTGCAGTGTCCGTGATGCTGGATTTCAGATAGCATAATAGTTAAATGGTTTTCATGGGATTATTATTGAAGAAAAGGGTCACCTGATAGGCTGAACTAACCACGAGCTGTCACGTTTAATTTTAACAGCATTTTATCAATGCCGGGCTCCTTGGCTGTTGGAGTTCTTTTTTGATCGTTAGAGCTAAAACTGTACGCAACACCTGATCGAAGATGATGTAAATTCATTTATTGGTGGGAAAGCGTACGATTTTGTCATTTGGGGGTATTTTTCAGATTTCGGTGAGGTTCTTCATTCCGCTTCTTGAAATCAACTTTGAGAACTAAAACCAGGTACCTAATAATGTCTTACAACCATTGGGTCCTTATTCTTGAAAAGAGTTAATTGATTAAGTAAAGGTTTTTGCTAATTTGTATTTTTGATCTTCGTAATTATCTCCACTTTTGCTTCATTGCTATCTTAATCCTAACTGCGTGAGATATTCCAGCTATTATTAACATTTATTTTTGGCTTTTGTTTCACTGGAACCATTGTAGAACTAGAGAGACCCATTTAGTCTGCTAGACATGGGTCTCGTTCCGTTACTTATCATTAGTACTGTGGCGTCAGAGTTGTTCTTGAAGATATGAAGCTTGTGAATTCGCAAGAAGCTTGAAACTGGTAGCATGGAAATAGTGTGAGCAGACCCTCATACTGTCATCGTTGAGGTCGAATGGAGAGACAGTATAGGTCTACGTAATCTCGTGTCTATCTATCATTGAGTTCTAGTGCTGCTCGTATTCTGTTTCCTCCATTCTAAAAACAAGACTCTTACCTCCTTGTGTATGCTGCTGGTTCATGTGTACCGCTAGTGAGTATTTGGATATCGTGGGTTTTTTTTGAAGCGCTTTTAGGAGGCAATTTGATTTTCTGCTCCAGAATCTGTTATTTTATCTATATATTTGCAGACTGTTATGAGTTTTGCTCAGCTTGATCTCCTTACACCAAATCAGATTTCATTCGAGTTATCTTTCGTTAATTCTTTTTTACTCACGGGGCACGGTAGCATTAAAGTCGTTTCCTGATATGTAAATGACTTGAACAGAGCCCAATGCCATCGTTAAGGTGGCTGAATCGTGGTAGACTCCTAAAAGACTGCGTAGTAACATACACAACATTGTATTCCATGCCGTTGGAGTACAGGGTGATAGTTATTGTTTGCTACTTTCCGCGGCTTCGGTCTCCTTTCTCCTTGATCGCCATCTGTGTTTCGGTTCAATATATGCTTCACGTGCGCATCCAAGTGTTGTTTAATCGGGAAACATTGGATACTGCCTTCACTTATGGTGTTATCAAGATCTATGTGGTAGAGGTCAATTTCGATAGGGTAAATTGGGCTTGTTCAAACTAAATCTTTCTTTTAACCGTGGCTCTGTGAAATAGGCAGCCATCACGAGTGTTAATGCAATTTTCACTTGACATCTCTATCGCAAATTTTCGCATTTTTGTCCCCCCTTCTCCATAACAACCATTCGCTTCGCCTCAATTTAAGCTTCCCTTTAATGTATAACAACGTGACGTCACCGCAAAACATTGGATACCGTATTCATTTACAGTATTAAAAGACCGTATTGAAGGAGTAAAACCGATCTGTTTGGTCTACTTCTGGCTCTGTTACTAGTCAAGAGGCACGGTAGGTGTTGTTCCCGCTTACCATTTCTCCTATCAATCTCTGAAATTTGAACATCGTATGGCTACCTTCTTCCTAGTAAATTTTTTCTCATGATATTGTAGTCGTCCCTTTATAGCGCTAAGGAATGCATCGCAGTCGCATAACTATTCCCTAAAGGTGCCCGTAAATAGTTACAAGAAGGAAACGATTTGTTCGAAGCCACACATGTATATCCAGTAGTGTATGTTGTCAAATCATTGACACTTCGTTTTCCTCGGAGAATTCGGCCATTTGATCTACTTCAGTATAATCCTTCCTTGTGCATGTGGTAACATGGGGAAGTGTGGTTATTCGGAGTAGTCTCCAGTTTTTTTATAAGTAGCTCTCAAATGCCGAGTGTTTTCCACATTGTGGCCCCCAAACTGTCCCAAGAACGCAAAAAATATGCACAAAAGTGATGGAGCGTTTGCTGAGATTCGCACAGCTCTCCGCACGTTATGGCTTCCAAACTGCCTTGATAGACATCCGTAAACGTATGCAACTCTTGTGGGATACCAAAATTGTCGATCACCCTACTCTGTTCTGTGTTTGCTTTTCCCTGGAATGGCAGACTTCACGGTGCGCCTGTGGAACATCGCCACGCACGTCATGGTGTGCATCTTCGGTGGTGTGGAGGGTCACCGCGCCGAAGTGCTTCATGGTGACATCTCGCTGACAGGTGATTTCCTCCTTACCGCCTCCATGGATCACACCATCAAAATCTGGCGACTCGACATTCCCGAGATGCGCAACGCGGTCAGGGCCTCTTTTGAGTACACCGACAAGCGGTGTGTTTCTCCCCTTCTCTCATTTTCCGTTCGACTTTGTTATCAGGGCAACAGGAGTTAAGAAACTGGGGCTGTCAGTAGATTTTTAGTTTCCTCTGAGGTGCCAACTACTACCTAAATGCATTATCAATGTACTTCGCGTAATTGCCCATTGGCTCCATTCACTAAAGGTTTCTTCTCTCAATGACTTCCTTTTGCTTCACTTTTCTCCCGCTATATCTCAGAACTCGGAACTTTCCTATCGTAAAGGGGAGTTCTTTCCTCTCAGTGACGAGAACATGGCTTCTTCAAGAGATATATTTGCTTCATATAACAACAATAATGGCAGTATTGCGACGTTCTTATCACTCTAGCGTTCTCCGTCCTATTTTTTTTGTAGCAAACCCTTCCACACCTTGTTGCAGCACTTTCCCGACTTCAGCACTCGTGACGCACACGGAAACTACGTGGATTGTGCCCGGTGGTTTGGCAGCCTCGTCATCTCGAAGTCCTGTGAGAATGCCGTCGTTGTGTGGATGCCTGGGGACATCGAGTCCGCCACATCGCCCGCTTCCCTCGACCTCCATGACCTCCTACCCCCACGCCTTGTCGCTATTGACAACAGCAGTGGCCGTGGCAGTGGCGCCAGGGCACGACAGATGACGGGTGTGCCGCTAGAGACGCACTGTAGTCTGTTGCATCAGCTGCGTCTGCCCGACTGCGACTTGTGGTATGTGCGCTTCGATCTCCACCTACAACAACGCCTCCTTGCTCTCGGGACGGGGGTGGGACTGCCAAGGATATTCCTGTGGGATCTATCTGACCTCGGATCGACCCTCTCCCTTGTGCCCAAGGTGCCTCTTGCTCATACCATAGGTCACTTGTTTATATTTCCTCTATTTTCTCCCCTCCATAGGAAGAGATTTTGCTTGGTTATAAACTCTGATAAGAGGTATTAATTTAACCCGTTTGCTATTAGTCCATTAAGTATGCTATTTCCAAGGTTAGCCACTGCTGGTGGTGGATTTTCTCATCACAAACTAATGGTTTGTATTCCCACATTACTTTTGCCTTGTCCATTAATAAAAGGCCCTAATTTTAACCAGTAAGCACTCCACTAATAGGCGTAAATTTCATTCTATTATCGCCAAGTCACTAAGTATGTCATTTGTGATTTGCGTAAGCACCTGTTTTGTGAATTCATTACTGTTTTGGCATCTCACAGATTACTTAGAATATTCCTGTTTTGTATTCATCTGTCCAAGTTATTTATGAAGGCATTAAAAGGGACTTTGATCTTGAAGTCCCTTTGTCGTTGAAGTACAGAAGGATTGGAGAGTCAGTAGCCTAGATGGTATTCTGGGAATGCCTACAGCTTCAGAATCACGCGCCTGTTTGACTTTCTAGAAGTCTCCACCAATCTCTTCTATAGTCACCAGGATCGTACACGTTGACCATACCTCTACGTACTCATTACGTCGGTTAATAAAGACATCCGCTCTAAAGTCTCGATCTGTCACTTATCTGCTTGGAAGGTTCTATAGGATCCAGGTCAGTTTTACAGCTGTGGAGGGTGACCCGGTTTGCAACATGTTATGAACAAGGCCCCATAGCACTGCCGTGGAGGTTGAATTGCGAAAGGATAGTAGGAACCGCGCATTCATGTATATAATTGACTCTCGTTTTTAATCTGAACATGATAGTGTATGTTTTTTGCGTTAAATATAAGGCTTGAAGAAAGCCAATTTGGAGGTAATTTCAAACATCGCGCCTCCTCTTATAGAATGCAGGTGACAATTTTGTTCACGTGCGGCAAAGGAATGTTCGATGAGCATGAGCTTATAAGGCCAAGTGGCTCGATAATGGAGCATTTACATAAACACGTGTGCCTTGTGTTGACGTCCTTTTGCACTTCTTGATTTTCAGGTCCTTCACATCACTGCAACGGGTGCCGGCAACTTAAATAACTTTGGGGCCATTCGGCAGACCCGTTTCACCGGGGACGGGCGCATCCTCGTTGCTGTGGGCGACAACGGTCTAGTTGTACGTTTTGACAGGGTCGGCTAGGGGGCGCTGACTTGTCTGTTGTGTAGGGAGCTCTTGACCACCTACTGTATTTGCTTTTGTATGTTTTTTTTTTACTAACGGATGAAATATAAGGCTACTCATACGCATGCTTGTGTCTGCAGCTTAACTTTAAGCACCACTGGGTAGTGAGGTTACAGCGTCTAAGTTATTCTTAAGGCGCACATGAGTACTGAAGTAGTTTATTAGTTGGAGGAAGATTACTGGCTGACGTGGCTTGTCGCCAGTGTAAAGTCCAAATTACGGAAGACTGAAAATGTTCGCATAGTTGGGGATGCATCACCCGCTTACACTCGAAGTTAAAAACACTTAGTGCTAGGCTAATCGCTAACGGGCATCAGTGAAGTGCTCTTTCAAATGAGATATTCTGTCTGTTAATTGAGATTTTGTAGGACTCTTGCCTTTACGTACCCGGGTGGCCTTAAAGTGAGTTAGTGAAGTGGAAGTTCGGATTGACCTCACGAACAAAGAGGGAGTACGATTGCTTAGTAGATAGTGGTTGTTTTACTAATGGAGTTCCTTTGCATAATTTTAGGCGAAAAATTTGGGCCATCAAACTCTCAATATGCACTTTAGGTAGATTTGAGGTGCCCCAAAGGGGCATGTTTGCATTTCCTTTTAACGAAGGTACTTCGTATTAGAGTAGCTCGATGAGATGCGTGGAAGAGGACATCTTTATTCTCCATTTATTTGTCAAACAAATTAACTTCCAGGTCTAGGTTATCGCATTTTGCGCTCGTTATTTTTCTGCAACGTTCTATGGAAATTGGATGGGTACTCGTGGATACTATTGATACAATATCAGTAGGTCGGTTATATTGCATATCTGGGTCAATCCATGGCCTGCAAACTCAACAATACGTTTAGAACATGGCAAATGGTTAATTAAAACATTTTCACTTTAAAAACAGAGCTCATCTTGCCAAATACCAAATTTCCTGTTCATTGTCATACAGAAATCTGGTAAATTTCTGTCGAGCACAAGGTTATACTTCTTGTACGCAATAGTTGAGCCAACAATGATGAATGAATTGCTGCTCTTTGTGATGTTCAAACGCTGGTTTACACTTTTGTTTATTTGCAAAAAAGGACTAACCGTAGACTATTATGCACATTCCATCAGGTAGTTTGGGCTTTGCACTACCTATCAAACCATAAGCTTAAAAAACCAAGCACATTCCTCAACATTTAATGCGAAGCAAAGGTTTTAAAGTGTGCGCAATGGCTTTCATCCACTTATCTCTTATTGGAGGTATTCTTATATTAATCCATGTCCTGCATCTCTCTGCACGTTTGGCCACAGTAACGTATTTACCGTGGGAGAAAAGTAAGTGCAAGTCTTTGCATTTTGCCTTGCACAGATGGCTGTAACACTCTTCGCTGTAGGTAAATGTGTAAGGTCTGCACTGTGAGAAATCTGTTTGATATAAATACATAAATATGTAAATGAAACAGTGCAATGAAAACATTTGGAACCCGTGCTCATGACGGCATACCGTGGTGTTTACTGCTGCCTAGATGCACGACCCCCATGATTCATGCGCCTCCCAGAAGTAGGCTGGGGTCAGAATTCTGATGGCCCCATCACAATCTCATCTGGGGAGCTACTGGTGAGCAGTACGCTTAAGTGGCAGAATCTATACTGGGAAGTGCCTTCGTATCAGTAAATTGAAATATCGTTCTAACAAAACTTTAATTTGTCTGATTATCCCTGTTTGTCATCCTGCAGTAAAGTCACTTTGACCTTAAATATTCTTCTTTGCATTTTCTAGCTGTTAATTAAAATATGCGTAATGCTTTGGTAGTTTATCTAACTGTACGTTGGACTGCGCGGGAACGTGAGCCTCCGCAAATCTCCAAAGTTGGGCAGTGTCAAAGTACTACATAAAATTTATCATAAAAAGGTCGAATCAATTCAAATTTGTCTTGATGATCGACATATTTTATTAGTAGGCGAATCTAGATCTCCGTCGATAGATTTAAGGTACTTAAAAGTAAGAAAAACCTCCCTTGGTTGTGCGAAGACGTTTAATCAGAGTCTTTATGAGTTTTCTTAATAATGTATGCTAACAAAGACTTCAGAGGACATCTGTTCCCGAGAACCAAAATAACAGCCTGATTTGCATAATTCGCATTCATGTCTTGTGTGGACGATTATGAATATTGGAACTTGTTAAATGTCAGTTGAACAAGAAATAATGGGACTTTAGCTATTAGTAATGCGTTATAAGCCATGCTTGAAATTGTATGCTATGGAGACAGTTATGTCGGCTGAAAACGACCCGTGGCATCCTATGTCGCTTATCTATCGCGTGTTTTGAACTCTTATTTAGACGAAATGGGAAAATTGAAGAGCCACTTCTGATTATCGAGGGCCCTACACTCTGCTCTGTTATGCAAGCATGCAGTGATATCACCTAGTGCGAAGTCATGAATAACAAAAAATAATGACTGTATTTAGGAAAAATTGCAATCTTCTTCAACCCAAATACTCTTACTTGGGAACACTGTATGATGAGTTAATATTTTTTTTTTTAGGGAATTGGTCTTCATTTAAATCAAGCATCGGGGCGGGGCACATGGAATGCTTATATGTGAAGTATGGGAAGAACAATTGCAACCCATGAGGAAGACTATAAATATTCCTACTTGCAATGAATAGTTGCCTTAAATAAGTCCTTAGAAAAAGATCATGGGGCCAAGTGTGCAGAAGGACTTGCTGACGTAGGCAGGCAAAAGTGGGTGTGGCACCTCAGTTCCGGACTGGAATATCACGGCGCAGCTGGTGGGGCTAAATTACGGGGGAGTAAACGAGGGTCAGCAGGGAAAACGTTCACATTCATTGCGTCAGAATTCTTCCTATACCCCGAACCTTGTGATCCTTCCATTCATCAAATGTTCATTCATTTATCTGCCTTTCAGAGCTTCTGTCTCTGAGCTCCATATCCATTAGTCTATGCGTCATTCCATGGCGGATTTTTCTACCTATCCATGCGTCCACCTATATATTTGCTTGTTCTGTTAAATCACTCACAAATTTATTCATCTGCCCTTCAGTCTATCCATTTATCTTAATAACTTTAAGTGATAGTTCAGTCAGCTTCATATGAACCCCGGACTTGTTAGTTCTTCGAAAGATAAAATTAAAAGTAACTTTGGCTGTCACACAGGCTCTATGTGTTCTCTTTCAACAAAATTATTCTTTTCCTCCTTTACACTATTTCTGATTTTCATTAGAAAGAATAGATACTGCTCATAGTGGTTTGCTGTTACTTTAATGGCTAGTGACCATATCCTTTACTGAGAAAGCATCGTTGTATGGTAAAATGAAATCTGACCTGCAGTATACTAACTGGTCCAACTAAAATTATTGACTTAAAATTTAGTTCAGGTTTTCTTTTTTTCTTATACCAAAAGACGAATCCACTTTATTTAGGAATTATTCAGAGCCTCGGTTTAAGTTCTGAAAGTCAATGAGAAGTCTACTGGGAACATTTTAGCCGATTTAAGCATTTGCGATGCATGGCCATAGAGGATTATAAAGGTAAGTTCACAAGTCACAACAAAGAAGCTGACCCTTTGATAAATTTGTTTAAGGGTGTTTGCACCTTGCAGGATGGAACAGACAATGTAGCACAAACATTTGACGCACTAACGCCTGGAGGTTGCACATCGAACTGACACGTCCTCGGTACGTGATTGTGATTAGACCGACTCCCTCTATCAGAAGCTAATCACGTACAAGCGTGTGTCCTAACAACTTTTGGCCTTCACATCTCGGCGCTAAACGATATTTAAACTAAACAAACAGCAAATGTTGAGTTACATGAATTTACCCATCTCGGAGATTTTAGGGATATTTTACAAGATGCGAGGGATATAAAAACGCCCCCATAAGCGTAAAGAACCACAATTGTTGGCAAAACTGACCTAAGCAACACGTATTTGCCGTGATGATTGAATCAGTCTAAATGCCAAATCAGTGATAGTCGCTGCTTACTACTCGAGTCTTCCATGAGGACAATTTCGGACCGACATCCAATTTGTTTATGTTTTAAAAAGTCATTTGGGGTGTTGTGGCCTAGTTAAGAGATTAGGGTGTGTCTAAAGATAGCCTGAATTTTTGGAATGTATAATATGTAACAGAAAATCTTCATAAAGAGGATTCGGCAGCAACAAATAACTTGGTGGAGGTTCACTGTCTCAATGCCGAAAAAGCAAGGGTTTATCAACTATATGCAGGATGGCAACACTACAATTAAGGGGAACCAGGGATCGACACCTCAGTAGCAAGTGTCGTATTTGAGAACCTAGGTAGGGTTTCAATGAATTCCGCACTTGCTCAAGATTCTTGAATGAATTAACAATAGGATAAAAAAATATTAGCAAACGCGCTCATCACCACGCTCTGCATGTTTGAACGGTGTAATTCGGTTATTCCTCCGAATTCACATCTAATTACGACCGATTTCGATAAGGTGCCCAACTTCAAATTTGTTTGATTGTAAATTAGGTAGAATTGGCGCCTTAGCTCTCTTAATGTTCCAGTGAAAACAGCACTACAAAGAGTCTGCGGAATGATTAACACCGTTGGTGTTGGCTTGCTTAATCGACAAAGATTCGCCTTCAAACTCGATTCAGATATCAGAAGCTGGTAATGCAAGAATGCTCCTTTGCGCGGAAACTATGCTTTTGTAGTGGAAATATTGCTTATAAATTCACCCATTTTTAGCATTTGCTGTTGTACGAAAAGCCTAAAAGTAGTACAGACCAAGGCGGAAGCTAAGCTTTTAGTCCGAGTTAGATGCCCTCCTCCGAATTTTTTGCCTGTCCCCTCATAAATTTTTAATATGTCATGTCAAAAGGCGAGCATTTGCAATGAAGAACAGTGAAAGTGAAATATCGCAGTGATGCCGGTAAATGCTAGACTGAGAACTCGGGTCAGGCGGGAAGTTTGTACATAATGGCCTAACGAGTAAATA